AACCTTTTTTTATTGAAAAAATCATTTTAATGAACTGGTTAGTATCGGGTTATGCGGATGGAAAGACCCATATCTCTGGACCCGAAAAAGGTGTTAGCACAAATTGTAGCATTTTGGAAAGGTAAAAGTGTCAGCTATAAGAAACAATTTTGTTGACCCCCGATAATTCGACTATAACTTCCGAACCGTAACATCTTACCCCATCTTGTGACCACTTGGATAGGTATTTTCATAAGCTTTCCAACGATATCTATATTGTCTATATCGGGTAGTTGGATCCGGGTCTAGTCGGGGTCTTAAACCCGGACTTTCGGGTCAAAAATCTGTGGTCCCAGGTCCGTCCCCCAAGAAAAAAATAGTTTCCCGGGATCAGGGTAAAAATACCTACCTCTGGAAAAAATTTCGAAAAATTCGAAGAGTTTTTACTAAACTAGAGTTGTTTCAATGTTTTTAAGTGGTACTAATACGGTTTGTTTCATATTTTAGGAGTCACAAAGGATGATCGCACTGGTGTAGGTACCTTAAGTATTTTTGGTGCACAAATGAGATTCGATATGCGCAAGAGCTTTCCTTTATTGACAACTAAACGGGTATTTTGGAGAGCAGTTGTTGAGGAATTGTTATGGTTCACACGTGGCTGCACTAATGCAAAGGAATTACAGGACAAAAATATCCACATCTGGGATGGTAACAGTACTCGCGAATTTTTAGATAAGCTTGGCTTTACAGATCGTAAAGAGGGCGATCTGGGTCCGGTATATGGATTCCAATGGCGTCATTTTGGTGCAAAATATCGCACTTGTGACGATGATTATACCAATGAGGGAATAGACCAACTTGCAAATGTAATCCACACAATACGCACAGATCCCGATAGCAGACGCATTATAATGACCGCTTGGAACCCTAGCGATATACATTTAATGGCTCTACCACCATGCCATTGTATGGCTCAATTTTATGTGGCAAATGATGAATTGTCCTGTCAGCTGACCCAACGTAGTGCTGATATGGGACTGGGCGTTCCATTCAATATCGCCTCTTACGCTTTGTTAACTTATATGATTGCCCACATAACAGGTCTTAAACCAGGCGATTTTATTCACTCATTGGGTGATACACATGTCTATTTAAATCACGTTGAACCATTAAAGGAGCAGTTGAAACGTGAACCACGTAAGTTTCCAAAATTAATAATCAAGCGTAAAGTTACGGATATTGAGGACTTCAAATTCGAAGATTTTGAAATTGTTGGCTATAACCCGTATCCGAAAATTCATATGGAAATGGCCGTTTGAAACAGCGTGATTTTTAAATTTCAAAAATACAAAAAACGGCTGTGGGATAAACGTTTTAAATACATATGAGAATGGCTGCAAAGACCTAAAATGGTAAAGACTAGACAAAATGCATTCTGAGCAAATGGTTTGTGGCTATACTACCTTGATTAACAGTTCATGACAAAGGCATGTTAATATAAAAAACACAATTATATGAAAGAGTGACAAATAAAAGTTTGGATAATCTAAAATATTAGTTTCAAAATTCAATTCCATATACCTTCCCAAATCATTACATACTGCCTTAGCGGTTTAAATTGCTTATATATATGTCTTTGATGGCTGTTTCAAACATCAGTATATTAAAATAACAATTGACAATATCAGAAAAAAATATTTTATATGTTGCACATTGAAATGATTTTTTAAATAAACAAAAATATAAAAAAAAAAACTGTTCTCCATTTTCACATTGAACTGTGGAATTCTGATTTTCATTTCTATTAATCAAATCATTTGCATCGGGTAATAATAGAAATTACAAAATATATTTCTTTCCAAAAGGACACAATATTTTCTTGCTTCTTACATTACGTCTGGTATCACCTCGTATGACCTTTACCTTTTCTTGCTCTTTTGGCCAAAAATTCCAAAAATAAAAAACAAATTTGCTGTATAGATGTTGAAACTAATTTCGATAGAAAGCGTAATCTGCGAATAAATCAGCTTTCCGTGCGAATTCCAAAGAAGTTGACTACCGACTAAACGTAAATATAAAACAAGCATTTGATTGGTTTACGAGTGCGGACACGAAGTGTCTACGTATACTCATACTCATGGTAGAATAATACAGGCAACAGCAATTGTTGTTGGACAACAATCGTAACAACAACCACATACAGTTTTGTTTTTGTACGTAATGCAAGTGTCTGAGTTATGTGTCCAAAAATGTAAACAAAATAAATAATTTTCAATAAATTATTTTAATTTCAGAATTATACATTTTTGGAATTTGGATTATTAAATTGAAAATGCAGAAGAATAGTTCTTAAAATATTCAATTTTAATGCTTTCACATCATTCCCCTGAATGTATAGTTGTTAGCTTTTGGTCCTATTCTCTCAACACTTCAAGCAATTGCTAGAAAATCGTGAAAAGGCAATATCCTTTCCAAGTTGAAACCAAACAGCACACATACATAAAGTATTCTACATTTTGCAATTTTAGAAAACATGAAATATAACCGCAAAAAAAGTTTCCGAACCATCGCCTTTAGCATTTCGTTAAATACAACAGTGAAATTTTATAACAAAAAAGGGTATGCCTATTGTATGTCTGATATGGAATTAAATTAAAAACGTCATATCGAATTTAACACTAGTATTACTATAGAGTCAAATCAGCTGGGACTTGCTGTTACCTGTAATAATTATACCATGGTACAATGAAGAGAAGGTAGGTGAACTTTGAAAAATTGCAAGTATAGAGGTCTACCTGTTTGGCTTGTAATGTCAAAAATAGTATCAAAACAATAAAAAATCAAACAACTTGTTGCATTTATTTTGAATAAATAATTGAAAACCACGATAACTGAGTGAAAGGTCAACACCTCTTTTCAAAATCATGTACAATATATATCTATAAAAGATTATTTCGCTACAAAAACCTCTAGATTTTGCCGATGCATACGCTGAAATAAACATTTTGAAAATATCCGAATTTGAATATTTTCTGAACAATTTTTTTGTTATTGAAAAGAAGACACATACATAAACAAATAAAGATGACATATTAAGCCAAGAAAATAAGAAAATTAAAATCATATGGTATCATAGCCCTACCTTGATATCATTGTACCATGGTATGCCTATTGTATGTCAAGATATGAAATTAAATCACAAAACGTCATATCGAATTTAACAGTAGTATTACTATAGTGTCAAATCAGCTGGAACTTGCTGTTACCTGTAATAATTATACCATGGCATATACTAAATATAATCTTACACTACTTCTGTTATCACCTCGATTAAGTTTTTGTTTCTTGTTACAACAATATTTAAATGCAATGAAATGTATTTGAAATGCAGGTTCGCGCAATCTATTGAAATGTGTTAGTATTTTTTTTAATGATAGGCAATATAACATTCGGATAAGATCAGTTCGGGTGCCTATGCCTTACTGATAACAGGGAGTTGTCGGTGCAATCAAATTTCGAGTCACAGTGGGTTCTTTGTGTGTGACCCTTTATAACCTTGTTGTTTATTTAGTCATAGTTCTACCCATGGTACAATGAAGAGAAGGTAGGTCAACTTTGAAAAAATTGCAAATATAGAGGTCTACCTGTTTGGCTTGTAATGTCAAAAATAGTATCAAAACAATAAAAAATCAAACAACTTGTTGCATTTATTTTGAATAAATAATTGAAAACCACGATAACTGAGTGAAAGGTCAACACCTCTTTTCAAAATCATGTACAATATATATCTATAAAAGAGTATTTCGCTACAAAAACCTCTAGATTTTGTCGATGCATACGCTGAAATAAACATTTTGAAAATATCCGAATTTGAATATTTTCTGAACAATTTTTTTGTTATTGAAAAGAAGACACATACATAAACAAATAAAGATGACATATTAAGCCAAGAAAATAAAAAAATTAAAATCATATGGTATCATAGCCCTACCTTGATATCATTGTACCATGCATGGTACAATGAAGAGAAGGTAGGCCAAGTTTGAAAAAATTGCAAGTATAGAGGTCTACCTGTTTGGCTTGTAATGTCAGAATTAGTATCAAAACAATAAAAAAAATCATACAACTTGTTGCTTTTATTTTGAATAAATAATTGAAAACCGCGAAAACTGAATGAAAGGTCAATACTTCTTTTCAAAACCAGGTTCTATATATCTATAAAGGATTATTTCGCTACAAAAACTCTAGATTTTGTCGATGCATACGATGAAATAAACATTTTGAAAACATTCGAATTTGAATGTTTTCTGAACAATTCTTTTGTTATTGAAAAGAAAACGCATACATAAACAAATAAAAATGACATATTAAGCCAAGAAAATGAAAGAATTGAAATCATATGGTATCATAGCCCTACCTTGATATCATTGTAACATGGTACCATGCATGGTACAATGATATCAAGGTAGGGCTATGATACCATATGATTTCAATTTTTTTATTTTCTTGGCTTAATATGTCATCTCTACTTGTTTATGTATGTGTTTTCAAAAAAAAATTGTTCAGAAAACATTCAAATTCGGATGTTTTCAAAATGTTTATTTCATCGTATGCATCGACAAAATCTAGAGTTTTTGTAGCGAAATAATCCTTTAGAGATATATAGAACCTAGTTTTGAAAAGAAGTGTTGACTTTTCATTCAGTTTTCGCGGTTTTCAATTATTTATTCAAAGTAAATGCAACAAGTTGTTTGATTTTTTTATTGTTTTGATACTAATTCTGACATTACAAGCCAAACAGGTAGACCTCTATACTTGCAATTTTTTCAAAGTTGACCTACCTTCTCTTCATTGTACCATGGTACCATGGTTCTACCCATGGTAGAATTACAAGGTAACCCTTTCAGGCCAGCTGGTATCTTTTTGATATGTCAAAAAATTGTTGTAATTTGAATTCGCCTTCAGTTACACATAAGAAAATTGTAGCATGATTTCAAACTTTAACAATGCTCTTGATAGAAAATCGAGATTTTACGTTTTTATAGAGTATGAGGGAAAAAGTGTATATTCAACATATGGTAGGCATAGGTAATATGGAGATCTGAAATTCGTGGATATTTGAAATAAGTGAAACAGGGAATCAATTTCATATAGTAGATAAACCGATACATGGAATTTCATCATCTTATTTGTACGGATTTTCAACTATGTTATACACTATAGGGCTTCAACTGTGAAAGGTGAATGATTCCAAAGCATATTGGATTGGTTTGGGGAACAAAACATTTGCAATTTTTGGGGTGTGATTAAATATTGAGATAATTTTTTTTATTTCAAATTGTTCGAATGTATTAAAGTTATCTATACATAAAAGACTTCCTGTCTGCTATACATTTCATAGCTATGCAAATAATATGCGTGGACTCCCAGTAGACTCAGCCCCCTGTATCTTCTGCAATCTTTGATCCAAATCTTAAGTAAGCCTGAGGAGTAAATATACCCTAAAGTACCTTTTGGGTAGCATGTCACTACAGCGAGAAAGCTGACGATGTAGTAAAAGAAAAAAGGGTACACCCCACCAGAACCACCACAAAACCTAATTTTAAAGCACCAAAACTAATTTTCCGGATATTTTCTTGTAAAGAACATTATCGCTGTTGAATATGAAATCAACGTTGCCAACGTTACCAAGTGTGTAAGGATGATGAAGAGATAACAACGATTGGACATCTATTATCGCAAATGTCCTTCGTTGGCGCGCTGGAGACTACGATCACTCCATTTCCAGTCTCTGTGATTTTCAAAAATGTTGTATTGAACGTGCTATAATCAAACCAAGATGCAGCGGCTTCAGCATTACTTTCCATCGATGTTGGAAGTTTTGAATATTTGCTTTTGTAATAGAAAAAACAACAATTTTGAAAATTTTTAATTCAATATTTTGATTGGAAAAATAATTTGCCCCAAATTTTGTACTTCAAATCAATTCGCCCTGACTACAACTTTGACACATCAAGTTTCCAAAAAAGTAGCTTTGTTGTAATTTTCGCCTATGTTGCTACTTGGTATTTCTACCATGGTTCTACCTTAGTATTGTATTTGAAATTTATTTTTCTGAAAAAAAATCGTAAGCTAACGTCACTAAAGAACTAAAAATAAATAAAACAAATAATACGATAAACTCTGAAATTAATTTTATTTATACAATCCATTGCAATCGAACTTTCGAGCTATGCCATTCCATATACCACGTCCATTTGGTAGAACAATGGCGAGAAGTGCTTCATCTGTTAGTTTGAATTCATGGCCATCGGAACAATTATCCAACGATAGTATTCTAAGCAGCCGTAGTTGTGAGCCTTCATTTCGTGTTAGGTATGCCAGAAATAATCTAACGTCAATTCGTTTTTAATATGTTATGTTATGCTTTATGTTTCCCCATAAAGAGATCCAATACAAATGTATGATCAGATCACATCGCACTATGGAATCGACTTTCAAAGGGAGAATGGTCTTACTATTGCCGAGGAATATAAAAAATCTATTGCATTTTCTGAAACACAGAGTGATATTGTACCACCACTAGATTTACAATCGGAAGAGAATTATCCAGCGGCCAGTGATATGACCTATTCAGTAAAAATTGATCGTCAACCAGAATTTTCTTATGCAACATGGCTATCGGCAAAAAGGTAATTGTGCTACTATAGGAAGCAGGAATGTATATTTTTTAGGAAACCAAGGGGTGTTTCATGGATGGATGGATAGTTTAAAGAAATTGATATTGCCTCTAGTTGCCGCGCAAGAATAAGATTTTAGAAATTAACAAAACACTTTTGTTCTTTATTTAGAAAACACCTTTCTGTAGAAGCTGCCCGTCGCAAAGAAGAAGCTGAGCGAAAACGTCAAGAATTAGAGGAACGAAAGCGCATATCCAAGGAAAAATATGAAAAGTGGCTGGAAAATAAGGCCAAACAACAAAATCAACAATATTCTCAACACAGTATAAACGAATTAAATTCGAATAAAACGCATAATAGTCAAACATATTTTCCAAATGTTTCACAAAAGTCATTACGTTCCTCTGACAATGATGAAAGGCCGAAAGCTCATCTAGATGAATGGGAACGTACGAAACGGTTGCAGGAAGAACGTCGACGTATGCGAAAACAACAGGAAGAACAACAACGTCGTGAATTAGAGGAACAGCGTCGTAAGGCTGCCGCAGAAGCCTGGGATAAATGGTTGGCCGATGCGGCTAAGAAACCAAAACCTGTTCCATTGAATCGCGGCATATTTACATTACGTGGGACAATTTCAGATATTTTTGTTAATCCCAATGAATGGAAACCAATATTGCCCAATGGTGATGACAATAATTAAAAACATCTTCAGGAGATTCTAACTTTTTTCATATATTTTGTGTATCTTGTTTACATTGAAATATATTTTTTAATCTGAGCAAATTCGATTCGATTGGCTTAGTTTTTGAAACTTGATATGGAAATGAACCCAACACGTATACAATTATAAACTGGTAAAAATAGGACAGACCGACCGAACATACCGACTAAATGAAACCCTACCCCATGAAAGCTATATCTTAATCGATTTCCAGTAAATTTGGTGGATGTATTTTAATGTCGAATATAACCTTTCATTCAAATATGGCTTCTATTGAGTATACGTTAGGAATTTGGGAAGGTTTATATCAGGGCAAGGAAGAGAGCCTCAAAAATTGTTTGTGATTGTATGTGTTTTGAAAGAACAAAATATTGCAAGTGTTTTTTTGCCTCTCTTTACAGAGTGAGAAATAATAGGTTATCTTCAAATTTTCAATTGAAAATTTTCCGTTTTAAAAACAACTTCGTTGTTAAAAATTAATATTTTGATCAGACAATTCGGAGATATATTTGCAAAGTTTTTTCAATTATGTTTCATTTCAAAATAAAAAAAATATATAAGTTGAAGTTTAAAAATTTTATTAAAAAAAAATTATTAAACACAAATAATAATTTCGGACTTAACATCCTAACCATCTAAGTTGATCCTTTAAAAATTAATACCGATTACCACAGGCTGACATACGCAAATAGTTGTAGAATTTTACACTGATCAGAAACGCATATTCTGCGTTGGGTCCTAAAATATTATGTCTATGGATTACAAACAGAATGACAAACATCACATCCTGTTATTTTCCCTAATATTGACTAAGAACGTACATATAATTTCAGAGAAATCAAGGGAAATGTCCATTAATTTGGAAGGACAATAAATTTGTCTAACAATATGAAGTAAATTTCTATTCCTAACATGTGAATTCGCATGCAAATTTTGTCAAATAGAATTCAATTAAAAAAGATAAATCTTTAAATTTATGATTTTTACAAATTCGGAAATATTTGTTCCGAATATGTAGTAAGATATATTTGTGCTCCAATACTTCTTACGGTGTATTCATAAAAAAAATCCGACAGCACCTTCCTCAACGACTGCTCGAACAAAACTAAATATTCTCCCTAAACCATTTTGACAGTAATATAGGCCATGATTGTGTTGGTGAACACACAGATATCCCATGGGATACTCTTGGCCTAGCCTTGGTTTATATATAAAATCGGGAATCTGGCTCTGGAAGCCTCCATATAAAAGCGTCCAAAAAACTGCGAATGCCAAATGAAAGTGGGAGCCCTTACAAGTATTTTGGCATATAAAATGTTCTCCAAGTCAGTTTTTGGTAGAACAAATTTTCCAATTTTCTCATATTCCACTGGTGGTCAGGACGGGAATCTGGCTCTGGAAGCCTCCATATAAAAACGTCAAAAAAACTGTGAATGCCAAATGAAAGTGGAAGCCCTTACGAGTATTTCGTTCACAGTTTTTTGGCCGTTTTTATATGGAGGCTTCCAGAGCTAGATTCCCGTCCTGACCACCAGTGGAATATGAGAAAATTTCAAAATTTGTTCTACCAAAAACTGATTTGGAGAACATTTTATATGCCAAAATAATCGTAAGGGCTCCCACTTTCATATGGCATTCACAGTTTTTTGGACGTTTTTATATGGAGGCTTCCAGAGCCAGATTCCCGTCCTGACCACCAGTGGAATATCAGAAAATTTAATTTGCGATGTTATATATGGAATTAATAACTGTGGTGTGAGAATTCATTATCGAACAAAATTTATTTCATGGACATTTTCATTCATAATTTTATAAATAAATTTTGTTTTCAAATCGGTTCCAGGTTTTTTCTCTGACGCACAGTTGAAAAAGTATTAAATGTGAAGTTTCGATGTTCTGAGTTACCCTGTAATTTTTGGTGAAATTCAATGTTATCGATAGTTAGCAACGTTGCTAACTTCACGCTTGTGATTATCTTGTTGGCGCCAAAAAAATGCGATACTTTAGAGTTGGCATTATTTTCCCTCCAACTGTGCCTACTGGTCGAAATGTGGATCTAAGCTTAACCCCAAATTCAAAATGGAAATACAAAATACGACGTGTGAAATATTGGAAAAACCCTATGCTTCTGTCAATGGTGGCTCCCCGAAATGCAACGGAACAACAAATGGGAATTCAAAAGTAGAACGTGAAAATGCTTCTGTCAATGGTGGCTCCCCGAAATGCAACGGAACAACAAATGGGAATTCAAAAGTAGAACGCGAAAATGCTTCTGTCAATGGTGGCTCCCCGAAATGCAACGGAACAACAAATGGGAATTCAAAAGTAGAACGTGAAAATGCTTCTGTCAATGGTGGCTCCCCGAAATGCAACGGAACAACAAATGGGAATTCAAAAGTAGAACGCGAAAATGCTTCTGTCAATGGTGGCTCCCCGAAATGCAACGGAACAACAAATGGGAATTCAAAAGTAGAACGCGAAAATGCTTCTGTCAATGGTGGCTCCCCGAAATGCAACGGAACAACAAATGGGAATTCAAAAGTAGAACGCGAAAATGCTTCTGTCAATGGTGGCTCCCTGAAATGCAACGGAACAACAAATGGGAATTCAAAAGTAGAACGTGAAAATGCTTCTGTCAATGGTGGCTCCCCGAAATGCAACGGAACAACAAATGGGAATTCAAAAGTAGAACGCGAAAATGCTTCTGTCAATGGTGGCTCCCCGAAATGCAACGGAACAACAAATGGGAATTCAAAAGTAGAACGCGAAAATGCTTCTGTCAATGGTGGCTCCCCGAAATGCAACGGAACAACAAATGGGAATTCAAAAGTAGAACGCGAAAATGAGGACGAAGGACAATACTTAAATCTGATAGAAAGGGTAATAAAAACAGGTAATGATGCGTATTTTCATATGTAATGTTTAATTTATTTTTACGTTTTAAAGCCTTACGGGGCCAATAAATGTTTTGGCTTAACTCGAGTTTAGTAAAAACTCTTAAATTTTTTCCAGTGGTAGGTATTTTTACCGTGATCCCGGGAAACTATTTTTTTCTTGGGGGACGGACCTGGGACCCCAGATTTTTGACCCGAAAGAAAGATAGATATCGTTGGAAAGCTTATGAAAATACGGTTGATGATAAGATGTTACGGTTCGGAAGTTATAGTCAAATTATAAATTATATTTTTTTAACCCGGATTTTTTATAAAACCCTCAAAAAGTCAAAAAAGGTTCCATTATGGGGGACAACAAAATTGTTTCTAAATTATAGCTGTCACTCTTACCTTTCCAAAATGCTACAATTTGTGCTAATACCTGTATTGAGTCCAGAGATATGGGTCTTTCCATCCGCATAACCCGATTCTAATTCAGAAATCTTTGGTTTGCGTTAGCCGGTGTTAGTCATACTCAGAGGAGAAAATCTCAAGAACCAGACGAAGGCCGGTTTTTTACAAAATGTGTCAAATTTAGAAAAGTTTGGTTCGCGTTAGCCGGTGTAAGACATACCCAGAGGAGAAAAACTCAAGCCCCGGCCGAAGGCCGACTATTTACAAAAAGTGCCGAATTTAGAAACCTTTTGTTCGCGTTAGCCGGTGTCGGACATACCCAGAGGAGGAAATCTCAAGGCCGGCTATTTACAAAAAGTGACAAATTTAGAAAACTTTTGTTATTCCGACGACTGCTACGCGAAATAAACCTTTTTTTATTGAAAAAATCATTTTAATGAACTGGTTAGTATCGGGTTATGCGGATGGAAAGACCCATATCTCTGGACCCGAAAAAGGTGTTAGCACAAATTGTAGCATTTTGGAAAGGTAAAAGTGTCAGCTATAAGAAACAATTTTGTTGACCCCCGATAATTCGACTATAACTTCCGAACCGTAACATCTTACCCCATCAGGTGACCACTTGGATAGGTATTTTCATAAGCTTTCCAACGATATCTATATTGTCTATATCGGGTAGTTGGATCCGGGTCTAGTCGGGGTCTTGAACCCGGACTTTCGGGTCAAAAATCTGTGGTCCCAGGTCCGTCCCCCAAGAAAAAAATAGTTTCCCGGGATCAGGGTAAAAATACCTACCTCTGGAAAAAATTTCGAAAAATTCGAAGAGTTTTTACTAAACTAGAGTTGTTTCAATGTTTTTAAGTGGTACTAATACGGTTTGTTTCATATTTTAGGAGTCACAAAGGATGATCGCACTGGTGTAGGTACCTTAAGTATTTTTGGTGCACAAATGAGATTCGATATGCGCAAGAGCTTTCCTTTATTGACAACTAAACGGGTATTTTGGAGAGCAGTTGTTGAGGAATTGTTATGGTTCACACGTGGCTGCACTAATGCAAAGGAATTACAGGACAAAAATATCCACATCTGGGATGGTAACAGTACTCGCGAATTTTTAGATAAGCTTGGCTTTACAGATCGTAAAGAGGGCGATCTGGGTCCGGTATATGGATTCCAATGGCGTCATTTTGGTGCAAAATATCGCACTTGTGACGATGATTATACCAATGAGGGAATAGACCAACTTGCAAATGTAATCCACACAATACGCACAGATCCCGATAGCAGACGCATTATAATGACCGCTTGGAACCCTAGCGATATACATTTAATGGCTCTACCACCATGCCATTGTATGGCTCAATTTTATGTGGCAAATGATGAATTGTCCTGTCAGCTGACCCAACGTAGTGCTGATATGGGACTGGGCGTTCCATTCAATATCGCCTCTTACGCTTTGTTAACTTATATGATTGCCCACATAACAGGTCTTAAACCAGGCGATTTTATTCACTCATTGGGTGATACACATGTCTATTTAAATCACGTTGAACCATTAAAGGAGCAGTTGAAACGTGAACCACGTAAGTTTCCAAAATTAATAATCAAGCGTAAAGTTACGGATATTGAGGACTTCAAATTCGAAGATTTTGAAATTGTTGGCTATAACCCGTATCCGAAAATTCATATGGAAATGGCCGTTTGAAACAGCGTGATTTTTAAATTTCAAAAATACAAAAAACGGCTGTGGGATAAACGTTTTAAATACATATGAGAATGGCTGCAAAGACCTAAAATGGTAAAGACTAGACAAAATGCATTCTGAGCAAATGGTTTGTGGCTATACTACCTTGATTAACAGTTCATGACAAAGGCATGTTAATATAAAAAACACAATTATATGAAAGAGTGACAAATAAAAGTTTGGATAATCTAAAATATTAGTTTCAAAATTCAATTCCATATACCTTCCCAAATCATTACATACTGCCTTAGCGGTTTAAATTGCTTATATATATGTCTTTGATGGCTGTTTCAAACATCAGTATATTAAAATAACAATTGACAATATCAGAAAAAAAATATTTTATATGTTGCACATTGAAATGATTTTTTAAATAAACAAAAATATAAAAAAAAAACTGTTCTCCATTTTCACATTGAACTGTGGAATTCTGATTTTCATTTCTATTAATCAAATCATTTGCATCGGGTAATAATAGAAATTACAAAATATATTTCTTTCCAAAAGGACACAATATTTTCTTGCTTCTTACATTACGTCTGGTATCACCTCGTATGACCTTTACCTTTTCTTGCTCTTTTGGCCAAAAATTCCAAAAATAAAAAACAAATTTGCTGTATAGATGTTGAAACTAATTTCGATAGAAAGCGTAATCTGCGAATAAATCAGCTTTCCGTGCGAATTCCAAAGAAGTTGACTACCGACTAAACGTAAATATAAAACAAGCATTTGATTGGTTTACGAGTGCGGACACGAAGTGTCTACGTATACTCATACTCATGGTAGAATAATACAGGCAACAGCAATTGTTGTTGGACAACAATCGTAACAACAACCACATACAGTTTTGTTTTTGTACGTAATGCAAGTGTCTGAGTTATGTGTCCAAAAATGTAAACAAAATAAATAATTTTCAATAAATTATTTTAATTTCAGAATTATACATTTTTGGAATTTGGATTATTAAATTGAAAATGCAGAAGAATAGTTCTTAAAATATTCCATTTTAATGCTTTCACATCATTCCCCTGAATGTATAGTTGTTAGCTTTTGGTCCTATTCTCTCAACACTTCAAGCAATTGCTAGAAAATCGTGAAAAGGCAACATCCTTTCCAAGTTGAAACCAAACAGCACACATACATAAAGTATTCTACATTTTGCAATTTTAGAAAACATGAAATATAACCGCAAAAAAAGTTTCCGAACCATCGCCTTTAGCGTTTCGTTAAATACAACAGTGAAATTTTATAACAAAAAAGGGTATGCCTATTGTATGTCTGATATGGAATTAAATTAAAAACGTCATATCGAATTTAACACTAGTATTACTATAGAGTCAAATCAGCTGGGACTTGCTGTTACCTGTAATAATTATACCATGGTACAATGAAGAAAAGGTAGGTGAACTTTGAAAAATTGCAAGTATAGAGGTCTACCTGTTTGGCTTGTAATGTCAAAAATAGTATCAAAACAATAAAAAATCAAACAACTTGTTGCATTTATTTTGAATAAATAATTGAAAACCACGATAACTGAGTGAAAGGTCAACACCTCTTTTCAAAATCATGTACAATATATATATAAAAGATTATTTCGCTACAAAAACCTCTAGATTTTGCCGATGCATACGCTGAAATAAACATTTTGAAAATATCCGAATTTGAATATTTTCTGAACAATTTTTTTGTTATTGAAAAGAAGACACATACATAAACAAATAAAGATGACATATTAAGCCAAGAAAATAAAAAAATTAAAATCATATGGTATCATAGCCCTACCTTGATATCATTGTACCATGGTATGCCTATTGTATGTCAAGATATGAAATTAAATCACAAAACGTCATATCGAATTTAACAGTAGTATTACTATAGTGTCAAATCAGCTGGAACTTGCTGTTACCTGTAATAATTATACCATGGCATATACTAAATATAATCTTACACTACTTCTGTTATCACCTCGATTAAGTTTTTGTTTCTTGTTACAACAATATTTAAATGCAATGAAATGTATTTGAAATGCAGGTTCGCGCAATCTATTGAAATGTGTTAGTATTTTTTTTAATGATAGGCAATATAACATTCGGATAAGATCAGTTCGGGTGCCTATGCCTTACTGATAACAGGGAGTTGTCGGTGCAATCAAATTTCGAGTCACAGTGGGTTCTTTGTGTGTGACCCTTTATAACCTTGTTGTTTATTTAGTCATAGTTCTACCCATGGTACAATGAAGAGAAGGTAGGTCAACTTTGAAAAAATTGCAAATATAGAGGTCTACCTGTTTGGCTTGTAATGTCAAAAATAGTATCAAAACAATAAAAAATCAAACAACTTGTTGCATTTATTTTGAATAAATAATTGAAAACCACGATAACTGAGTGAAAGGTCAACACCTCTTTTCAAAATCATGTACAATATATATCTATAAAAGATTATTTCGCTACAAAAACCTCTAGATTTTGCCGATGCATACGCTGAAATAAACATTTTGAAAATATCCGAATTTGAATATTTTCTGAACAATTTTTTTGTTATTGAAAAGAAGACACATACATAAACAAATAAAGATGACATATTAAGCCAAGAAAATAAAAAATTAAAATCATATGGTATCATAGCCCTACCTTGATATCATTGTACCATGGTATGCCTATTGTATGTCAAGATATGAAATTAAATCACAAAACGTCATATCGAATTTAACACTAGTATTACTATAGAGTCAAATCAGCTGGGACTTGCTGTTACCTGTAATAATTATACCATGGTACAATGAAGAGAAGGTAGGTGAACTTTGAAAAATTGCAAGTATAGAGGTCTACTTGTTTGGCTTGTAATGTCAAAAATAGTATCAAAACAATAAAAAATCAAACAACTTGTTGCATTTATTTTGAATAAATAATTTAAAACCACGATAACTGAGTGAAAGGTCAACACCTCTTTTCAAAATCATGTACAATATATATCTATAAAAGATTATTTCGCTACAAAAACCTCTAGATTTTGTGATTAAATATTGAGATATTTTTTTTATTTCAAATTGTTCGAATGTATTAAAGTTATCTATACATAAAAGACTTCCTGTCTGCTATACATTTCATAGCTATGCAAATAATATGCGTGGACTCACAGTAGACTCAGCCCCCTGTATCTTCTGCAATCTTTGATCCAAATCTTAAGTAAGCCTGAGGAGTAAATATACCCTAAAGTACCTTTTAGGTAGCATGTCACTACAGCGAGAAAGCTGACGATGTAGTAAAAGAAAAAAGGGTACACCCCACCAGAACCACCACAAAACCTAATTTTAAAGCACCAAAACTAATTTTCCGGATATTTTCTTGTAAAGAACATTATCGCTGTTGAATATGAAATCAACGTTGCCAACGTTACCAAGTGTGTTAGGATGATGAAGAGATAACAACGATTGGACATATATTATCGCAAATGTCCTTCGTTGGAGCGCTGGAGACTACGATCACTCCATTTCCAGTCTTTGTGATTTTCAAAAATGTTGTATTGAACGTGCTATAATCAAACCAAGATGCAGCGGCTTCAGCATTACTTTTAATCGATGTTGGAAGTTTTGAATATTTGCTTTTGTAATAGAAAAAACAACAATTTTGAAAATTTTTAATTCAATATTTTGATTGGAAAAATAATTTGCCCCAAATTTTGTACTTCAAATCAATTCGCCCTGACTACAACTTTGACACATCAAGTTTCCAAAAAAGTAGCTTTGTTGTAATTTTCGCCTATGTTGCTACTTGGTATTTCTACCAAAAATTGCAAGTATAGAGGTCTACCTGTTTGGCTTGTAATGTCAGAATTACTATCAAAACAATAAAAAACCAAACAACTTGTTGCATTGATTTTGAATAAATAATTTAAAACCGCGAAAACTGAATGAAAGGTCAACACTTCTTTTCAAAATCATGTACTATATATCTCTAAAGGATTATCTCGCTACAAAAACTCTAGATTTTGTCGATGCATACGTCGAAATAAACATTTTGAAAACACTCGAATTTGAAGTTTTCTAAACAATTTTTTTTTGTTATTGAAAAGAAAACACATACATAAACAAATAAAGATGACATATTAAACCAAGAAAATAAAAGAAATTAAAATCATATGGTATCATGCCCTACCTTGATATCTTGTACCATGGTTCTACCTTAGTATTGTATTTGAAATTTATTTTTCTGAAAAAAAAAAAAAAAAAAAATCGTAAGCTAACGTCACTAAAGAACTAAAAATAAATAAAATAAATAATACGATAAACTCTGAAATTAATTTTATTTATACAATCCATTGCAATCGAACTTTCGAGCTATGCCATTCCATACACCACGTCCATTTGGTAGAACAATGGCGAGAAGTGCTTCATCTGTTAGTTTGAATTCATGGCCATCGGAACAATTATCCAACGATAGTATTCTAAGCAGCCGTAGTTGTGAGCCTTCATTTCGTGTTAGGTATGCCAGAAATAATCTAACGTCAATTCGTTTTTAATATGTTAGTTTTCCCCATAAAGAGATCCAATACAAATGTATGATCAGATCACATCGCACTATGGAATTGACTTTCAAAGGGAGAATGGTCTTACTATTGCCGAGGAATATAAAAAATCTATTGCATTTTCTGAAACACAGAGTGATATTGTACCACCACTAGATTTACAATCGGAAGATAATTATCCAGCGGCCAGTGATATGACCTATTCAGTAAAAATTGATCGTCAACCAGAATTGGCTTATGCAACATGGCTATCGGCAAAAAGGTAATTGTGCTACTATAGGAAGCAGGAATGTATATTTTTTAGGAAACCAAGGGATGTTTCATGGATGGTAGTTTAAAGAAATTGATATTGCCTCCAGTTGCCGCACAAGAATAAGACTTTATAAATTAACAAAACACTTTTGTTCTTTATTTAGAAAACTCCTTTCTGTAGAAGCTGCCCGTCGCAAAGAAGAAGCTGAGCGAAAACGTCAAGAATTAGAGGAACGAAAGCGCATATCCAAGGAAAAATATGAAAAGTGGCTGGAAAATAAGGCCAAACAACAAAAGCAACAATATTCTCAACACAGTATAAACGAATTAAATTCGAATAAAACGCATAATAGTCAAACATATTTTCCAAATGTTTCACAAAAGTCATTACGTTCCTCTGACAATGATGAAAGGCCGAAAGCTCATCTAGATGAATGGGAACGTACGAAACGGTTGCAGGAAGAACGTCGACGTATGCGAAAACAACAGGAAGAACAACAACGTCGTGAATTAGAGGAACAGCGTCGTAAGGCTGCCGCAGAAGCCTGGGATAAATGGTTGGCCGATGCGGCTAAGAAACCAAAACCTGTTCCATTGAATCGCGGCATATTTACATTACGTGGGACAATTTCAGATATTTTTGTTAATCCCAATGAATGGAAACCAATATTGCCCAATGGTGATGACAATAATTAAAAACATCTTCAGGAGATTCTAACTTTTTTCATATATTTTGTGTATCTTGTTTACATTGAAATATATTTTTTAATCTGAGCAAATTCGATTCGATTGGCTTAGTTTTTGAAACTTGATATGGAAATGAACCCAACACGTATACAATTATAAACTGGTAAAAATAGGACAGACCGACCGAACATACCGACTAAATGAAACCCTACCCCATGAAAGCTATATCTTAATCGATTTCCAGTAAATTTGGTGGATGTATTTTAATGTCGAATATAACCTTTCATTCAAATATGGCTTCTATTGAGTATACGTTAGGAATTTGGGAAGGTTTATATCAGGGCAAGGAAGAGAGCCTCAAAAATTGTTTGTGATTGTATGTGTTTTGAAAGAACAAAATATTGCAAGTGTTTTTTTGCCTCTCTTTACAGAGTGAGAAATAATTGGTTATCTTCAAATTTTCAATTGAAAATTTTCCGTTTAAAAAACAACTTCGTTGTTAAAAATTAATATTTTGATCAGACAATTCGGAGATATATTTGCAAATAATTTCGGACTTAACATCCTAACCATCTAAGTTGATCCTTTAAAAATTAATACCGATTACCACAGGCTGACATACGCAAATAGTTGTAGAATTTTATACTGATCAGAAACGCATATTCTGCGTTGGGTCCTAAAATATTATGTCTATGGATTACAAACAGAATGACAAACATCACATCCTGTTATTTTCCCTAATATTGACTAAGAACGTACATATAATTTCAGAGAAATCAAGGGAAATGTCCATTAATTTGGAAGGACAATAAATTTGTCTAACAATATGAAGTAAATTTCTATTCCTAACATGTGAATTCGCATGCAAATTTTGTCAAATAGAATTCAATTAAAAAAGATAAATCTTTAAATTTATGATTTTTACAAATTCGGAAATATTTGTTCCGAATATGTAGTAAGATATATTTGTGCTCCAATACTTCTTACGGTGTATTCATAAAAAAAATCCGACAGCACCTTCCTCAACGACTGCTCGAACAAAACTAAATATTCTCCCTAAACCATTTTGACAGTAATATAGGCCATGATTGTGTTGGTGAACACACAGATATCCCAAGGGATACTCTTGGCCTAGCCTTGGTTTATATATAAAATCGGATGAAAGAAATTAATTGGATAAACATATCTTCGTTGGTTTAACATTCTCATCAAATTAAATAAAATATATGTGGGAGCAATATGTAAATCTAAACTGATCTCCACAAATTGTGTTTCAGATATACAGTGGTGGCCATATCATATGCAACTGAAATCTAACCTTTACCAAAAACCGTGAAAAATTTTTCTGAAAACAAAATTATGCAATTATTTTTTTAAATATTATTTTTGATTGCTTGTAGTTTAAGAAAAAAACATATACTCCATAGATATTCAATTCATTTATAAAAAAAAATTAGAAAAAGATATTCAGTCTTATTATGAAGTGGCCAAAACATATGCAACTAATTAAATCGAGCTCAGTAAAGTGCAAATAAAGTTAATATTTTGTTGCAAATCCGTTGTTGTCGATTACAGCCTGACATCTTCGAGGCATTGACGCTATAAGATTGTCAATGACGCTTTTTGGAATTGATTTCCAGGCATCTTCCAGCCGGCAAAATAAAACATCTAAACTTGTACAATTTTCTCGATCAATTTTTTTGTTTACGATTTCCCACAGGTTCTCTATTGGGTTTAAATCTGGGGATTGGGGTGGCCATTCCATTACCGTAACTCTATTATCGGCAAACCACGATTTGACCACCTTCGAAGCGTGTTTGGGGTCGTTGTCCTGTTGAAAGACCCACCGCAATGGCATATTATATTCTGCGAATGGGAGCATTACCCTTTGCAATATGTCTTTATACATAAATCTATCCATAATACCAACAATTCTATGTAGGGGGCCAACTCCAGCACCAGAAAAACAACCCCACACCATTATATTGCCCCCTCCATGCTTGACCGTTTTTTTACAGTAACGTGCTTCGAGTCGTTTTCCTTCTGGTCGCCTTACATAGCACATGCCATCGCTACCAATGATGTTAAATTTGGACTCATCACTAAATAATATAGTTCTCCATTTACTCTCTGTCCAATTTATATGAGCTTTAGCAAATTCCAAACGCTTTTTCTGGTTTCGCTTCGATATCAGTGGTTTTTTTGCAGGACGTCTTGCGCAGAGGGAGGCTTGTAAAAGTCTTCTACGGATGGTGCGAGCAGAAACTGGCAACTGAAATCTTTCCACTATCTTAGAGGAAGATATAAATGGGTCTTTTTCACGTGTCTGATTATTAATTTGTCCGTCCGATCGCTTGTTTTTCGACTTCGACCACCACGGTGTATAACAGAGACTTGTGAATTTTTTTTGTAATTATTAATGATGCGCGATATGGAGCTTTTATGAACGGTATATTTCTCGGCAATACATTTCTGTGATAATCCAGAAGAATACGCAGTCACAATTCGTTGTCTGAGCTCAAATCCAAATTTATCGCGTGCCATTTTTGACCAAACTCTATTGTAGCTTTGTGAAAAAACAACGCAATAAAAATGTGAAGGTAGCTTTAAATCTCTTTACGCAGTGTCTCTAGCTAATAATAAGAAGAACAATAGAACAAAGGAAATTGTAAAAATGCCGTTATTTAAACCAAATATATAAAGTTGCATATGTTTTGACCACACCAAATTTCATATTTGTCAACAAAACACCTGTGAACATAGAGATATAAACAAAAGCTGCACATTTTGATAATAATTTGAAATCGTAAGAACGTATTGACTATAATTAACCCATCTTTATATACTTCGTTGTGAAATTTACAAATTTATATAGCCTTTTAACGTAGATGAATCTTAGTTGCATATGATATGGCCACCACTGTATATGAGACGTATACCCAATCTAAAGTATCTAAAATCTCGTACCGAATATGATTCTTATGGAGAGCATATTACGGGTTTTGACTAGCTTGATCTAACTTAAGAGTATATTAGGCATTTAGTGCACAAAAAACGGTAAATTTAAAAAAATATTTATATGAGAGCTATGTTTAAATTACATCCGGTAATCAACAATAATATTCTTCATAAAAAAAAATGTCAGAAAAAAAAAACAAGTTTGGGGGCCAGGCCTTACGCCACGTACTTTTGTAAGTAAATTCTATTGTTTTTTTCTTTTTATTTTATTTAACTATTTTATTAAAATTGAACTGCAATTATAATTTCTTAAGCTTACAATTACGATTTTTTTTCTCTCTAAACTATTATAAATAACAGCTACACTATTTACCTTTGGAAGGGATGGACTTGCATGGCTGATTTTATATTTGTCTTGATAGCCGACGGTGCTTTGCCCAGTTGACTTACGCCACCAGGACTGACTGAACTCATTGGGGCTGGAGGACGTATTGCCGGAGGTACCATCATGCTGCCGGGCCCTCCACCAGGCACAGACATAGGCATGCCCATTTTCAAACCCTTACCCATTCCAACGGCTGCCACAAGGGCATGAGTGTCCGCCATGCTGCTGGTTTGTTGTATACCAGCTCTAGACGAAGATTCGATATCCCATTCCTCACGTTTTTTACTGACCATATCAAGAATGTGTGAGACTACTTTGTTGTGTTGTGCCACTTGTTTTGCTGCTGCTTCAGCCGACAAATTCGCTGCTTTTTGTTCATTTTGTAACATTTTTTGTTCAGCCATTGGTTCGGGTTTTGTACGCAAATAATCCGGCACAATATCATGTGAAAACACTGGTACCCTACCTTGTGTTAGTTGGATCAAAGCTTCATCTCTTTCGGGGGACAACATTAGGGGAAGAACTGTCCGGTTACGTAGCGGGGGGCATATTTCTTTGGATAAAATTTTAGAAAGGCCAGTAAGCTGTGAAAGAAGTACATTATGTGGTTAAAAGCAAAAAACAAACTTAAAAGTGAGACCTACATGACTTGATATCAGGGCAAAATTGTCCAGAAATGTTGGCCAATTGATGAACTCGTATTCTGTTTCTAATTTATGTACCATGGCTCCGATGGAAACTTTTAAATCGTTTAAACGATTTTGTACCGCATCTAGGGTCATTTCCAATTGCTTCTCTTCGCGGGACATGGCTGGATACTTGGATACTCCTTTTTGCAATTGCCTTACAAATCTATGTGCAACATCAACAAAACAACAGGGATATGAAAGGCAAATCACGAAGTGACACTTTTTTTGTCGGCGATGGCAGCTATTCAGGTTTACACCAACGGCGGCGGCGCGCTGTAGTTTCTGTGAACTCTGCATACAAACACATTAGTTGTGTTCAAGAGCTAAACTGTTTCTCCTTAACCAGCGGTGCTCAAGAAGAAATATCTCTTTTCAAATGTCTCTTGCTTATTTAAATCAAGAACAAAACAGTGTTAAGTCATTATTTATACAAATATTTTTTATCCATTTGCTTTATAAATTATTTTGGCAAACATTCGTGTTTAAAAACAATTAAATAGAACCGTAAAATATAAAGAAAGACAGAACTTTAATTTTCTCTTCAATTATCTCTTTTTTCTCTTCATGTTCTAGAACACGGTTTTGAGCATAGATGCCTTAACATTGCAAAGTGTTCACTTCTCCTCAAACAAAATTAGTGCTCTCCCCTACAATTTGTATGTTCTCTTTAGAGACTTTTTATACCATAATGTGGGTGAGCAAGAGTGGAACAGCTGTCAAACATCGAATTTAACATAGATCATATGACAAAAAAGTTTGAAATTTCGCTCCATTCACCATAAAAAAATCTGGAACATTAACATTAATTAACATATTTTATACAAGTATACAGCGAACCTACGAACCTTCGCCTAAAAATCTGAAATCTATTATAAAAATATAATTATTACAAGGCAACTGCAAGTGAGGAACTTTTCTTGAAAGTAATAGCATTGTCAATTTATTTTCAACCAATATGAATCAAAAAAAAAAAAATAAATAAATAAATAAATAAATAAAAATAAAATAAAGCAGTTTACAGAATAAAATGTTTTTATTTTGCCTATACCAGAACAGTAAGAATGTAAAAGTTTTTACTACGATAACCGATTTTCCCTTTTTAATATCAGAAAAAATGCAAAACAAGTATATTCTTGCACGTTTCAGGAACAGCCCAATAAATTGAAGAAATATGTTTTTTATGATCGTAGAATGGCAAAATTATAAAAGGTATTCAATTTTTTCATAAAGTTTTATCGATAATATTTAAGAGCACGCTCACGTTGGAGCTTTTTCCGGATTAACCTTTTTTATGAAGATTTATTAGAGGTACACATATGCAATGAAATTGACTATTTAAGCCGACTGGATTTTCTAAATCCGTTAAGGTGAGAATACATAAAACGCATTTTTGACTGGCTTAAGTCATCGGCTGGTTACTTCGGAAAAGAACAAAGAACAAAATCGAACTAAGTCTACCTAAAACACCTTTGTTCAAAGACATAGAAATGTAAAGATAGGACAAGACAGAGTCAAGATATGGTAACCCTGTGAAAATACCTCTATTGTTACGATATCATAACAACATAGTTACCAATGTTAACTGATTTAAACCGCTAAGGCAATGTTCAAATTTTCGGAAAGGTCTATGGAATAGATTTTTGAAGCCAAAATTTCGGATTTTTCACATTTTTATTTGTAATTGTGGTTTTTATATTAACATGTCTCTGCCATGAGCTGTTACTCCATATATTGCAGACACAAACCATTTGCTCAAAATGCATTTTGTCTAGTCTTTACCATATTAGGTCTTTGCTTTGTTCCTCTACGCAGAAGCCAGCCGAAGACTTAAGTCAGTCAAACAAGCGTTTTATGTATTTTTCCCTTTACAAAGAAAGCGTAAAATGGTAAAATTAAGAAAAAGGTGAAGGCATTTCAAATAAGTGCAACCATTTCTGCATTTCCTTTAATTTAACTTGTCAAATTTCACTACGTAGAAAACAGGATAACATCTCTGATGTGTGTTGCGTGTAGCCATTGAAAATATATATCTTTTAATTTATTGAAAGAAAGAAATTGGCAGCAATTTTCCAAAGTCCCCGTCTTTTGCTGCCGGAAAATGTGCAAAATTTCAGCGTTGCCACCTATAATTTTCTGTAGATAGGGAAATACAAGTCTGCAAAAGTGTAGGGATTTGTAGGTGACTATAAAGTGATAAACAGGAAAAATTCTGGAAAATATGAGAAAAGAGAGAAAATCAGAATCAAAATATACAGTCCAAGAGTTTTGTTTTAAAATTAATACCAAAGACATTGGTTTGTTGTATTGTTTATTGTGTTTGACGTGACTGGTTTAATTGAAGTAAGTGTGTGACAATAACAGAAGTAAGTACGGTATTTCACGTTAAAGGGCCTTTTATGCAATGTGTATTTTGGTTTAAGGTCTCGCCAAGGATAGCCAAAAAATAAAAATACTCGCAAATTATCAAAAAATCTTGATATTTTAAACAAAAAACACGTTGCGCGTCCATTCTGCTATGACCATATTTGTCTTTTACCAAATAGTCGCAATTCGCAGTGGGTGGGTGCCGAAAGAGACAAAACCTATGAAATATTGAAATTTATCACAGTTTGCAGTAAATGATTTTCTGCAGTTATCTTCGACAGCGCCATGGTAAAATTAAGGTAAACCATTTCAAATAAGCATTTCCATCTTTGCATTTTCTGTACTTTACCTTGTCAAATTCATGGTAGAATTAAGAAGGTAAAGTCATGCAATCGTATATTTACAATTTTTTTTCAAAATTGGGCATTTGACAACATCTCATTGTCAAAATGTTTTTTTTTTTATAAATCCATTGTACCTACACAAATCAGAGATGGGAACCTACTTTCTGTGCAGTGAAATTAGACCATGGTAAAATGAAGAAGTTAAAATCATTTCAAATAAGCATATCAATCTCTGCATTTTTTGTAACTGAGCTTGTCAAATAGGACAGCACTTCCGTATAAAAGACAATATGAAATTGCATTTGAAGCCAATTGTTCACGTACATTCAAAGTGTTAACATCTCCGAACAGTGTTTTGAAAAACTTAAAACATTTAGAATATTTAGAAAAAAAAAATAAATATCATACCTGCATCGTGCAAAATTACATACAAATTACCAACTTAAAAACTATTTTGATACCCGCTGTGCCCATTGCAATGCCCAAAACGTGATCATGCAGCTTTATGAGTATTTATTGCTATTGATGATGTTAATCGTTTTTCTACAACGAAAATGTTGGCGCCTTGTATGGCAAGTAAACGGATGGCGTGGCATTATCCAGCAACCGATATTATGGATACTATTGATTTGTAATATTGATCCAAAAAGTTAAGAAATTTTCTATGGACAACAAATACTATTGATATTGCTTACTAAAATTGCTATCGGCAGAGAAATATAATTATTAAATTATTTCTAATTTCACAAAATATTTCAAAATAATTTTTTTTTCAGATATTATGTCCAGTATTCATCGATATGGTCGATTCATGGAAGTTCCCCTGGCCATTGTACTCTTCGATCGAATTCTTTTATACATGGACGATCCAGTATCTATAGAAGGTGTTCTCACGTCCCCTGAATGTCTAAACAAGTCTTTTCTGCACAATGGTTTCTATGCAAATAAGGGTATTTTGCATGCCAAAGGTACAAAGCATGGTAGAACCATGTTGAAATTTAGAAGGTAAAGTCTTTTCAAATAAACATAGCCATCTCTGCATTTTCTGTAATTTTTCTTGTCAAATTTCACTGCACAAAAAATTGGTTTCCATTTCTGACTTATGTACTATTTACAACGGATTTATAAATATATATTTTGACAATAAGATGTTATAAAACGAATAATTTGGAAAAAATTGCAAACAAATTGTTGGCGTGATACCGGGACAAATAAACCCAAAAATAATAGAAAATAAAAACAAGGATTATGCAGTTTATATGTATTTTCAAATGGTTTATTTGTAAAGTGTATTGGTTTCAAACGAAACGAGACTTTACCTTTGTGTGTGATTTTAACGAGAGCGAGAGAGCAAGTGTAGTAGCAGATGAGCACAATAGCGGAACAAGGTCGTGACCAGTACCGACGACCGCAGCATTGGAAAGTGCCTCTCTGCGTCCAAACTGAGTGAATATAACTTTTAGGAGAAAGTGCAGTCCATGGGTAGAGCTAAGAAGGTCATTTGACAACATCTCAGTATAAAATTGTTATTTCCAATTCATTGTATATTCACAAATCAGAGATGGGAACGTGTATTCTATGCCTTAAAATTGGACAAGATAAATTACAGAAAATGCATTTGAAATGGCTTTACCTTCTTAATTTTACCATGGTACGAAGCGACTTAAATTAATTTTTGATTTGTTCCAGAATCTACTAGTTTTGCCATTCCCTCCAATGTCATAACGGGAAAATCGGTTATCGTAATCAAAACTTTTACATTCTTGCAGTTCTGGAACATACCATTTAAACACATAACACAAAATGACACCGGCTAAAACTTTTGTCCATATTGAATGAATTTAAATTTGTTGTTGTAGCAGCTCATAATGCTGTGTTCGTTCGGACTCCTCTCAATCGGGTTCTGCTTCTAAGTAGAGTCTCCTAGTACAGTATTCATTCTATATTCTTCCATGACTTCTGAGACCGCGTCAGAGTGAATACTATTCAGTCCTGCTTGATAGGCCTGTTTATCTAGAGGCTATCTCTTATACCTCTGTACCTCTCCCTCTAGATCATGAAGGTCTTTCGTTACGTGCCTGGGCGGAGGTTGCCTACTCCCCAGATGGTGATTCGAATGGCTCAGCTGTTTTTTTGAAAGGTCATTCATATGCGCTTGCCTATTCAAAGGAGCGTATGGCAAATAAGTATAAATGATGGGCCAAAATCAAACTAAGTCAACATAAAGTTCCTTTGTTATTTTACGAAGAAGACAGCGGAAAAAAGCTTTTTATGTGTTCTAACCTTAAAAGTGAGAATGCATAAAAAGGTGAGAATACATAGGTTGACTTAGTTTGATTTTGGCCCATTATTTATACTTATTCGCCCTACGCTCCTTTGAATAGGCAAGCGCATAGGAATGACCTTTCAAAAAATATACAAATTCGACCATCTACATGAAGAGGCGACGATCTTACGGTGCTGTCAATGCAATACCTGCTTGAGTGTTACAGACAGAGCCATCCTAATCACCATCTGGGGAGTAGGCAACCTCGGCCGAATAAGCCATCCGATGACTTAAGGCAGTCAAATGTTTTATGAATTCCCATATTAAAGGTGAGAGAACATAAACATCTTTTAGTCCTCGCATGGCATATTTTGTGACATATCATAACGGGATACAAGAGCCGCACTCAAATTCTGCTATTGTTTCCCTACATAGTTTGACACTAATATGCATAGCCATGATGACAAGCTGTTTATGTACCCTCAACTTAACAGGCGCTCTGGAATTCTTATGCCGTTGCGTCTTAAAAATTGGCTTCAACGAAGCAAGAAATCTGACTCTGTTTCACCCACCAATGCTCGATCAAATTTAACGCTGTTTCTTTTTATTTCTGTTTTAATTTTAGATGAAAAATGGAAAATCCGACGTAAACAATTAAATCCCGCATTCAGTCATAACCTACTTTTTAATTTCTTCAGCGATTTCAATCGGGTTGGAAATGAACTGAGTATAAAAATGAAAATGGAACTGAAACAAAATCATATTTCATTTGATAATTTGGCAGATTTAGTTAATCGAGCGGTTTTAGAAGCATCGTGTTGTGAGTATAAATTTGTATTCCCTTAAATTTACTTTACTTTTCTAACATGGCATTTATTGTTTTTTGTTTTCAGTGACCATAATGGGTGTATCAACACGTTTCACACAAAACGATGATAAACGCATTGCAGGAGCATATCGCTAGTAAGTTAAAAGTGAAGATGAATAACTTTCGGGGATTCTCGTGGCGTTAACCGATATCGTAAAATAACTAAACACAAGAAGAAAAGAACACTAAAGGTGAGAGTACATAAACAGCTTGAAGTCTTCGCATGGCATATTTTTTGATATACCATAAAGAGATGCCGAAGCTGCACTCAAATCCAACATCAAATCAAATAATTTGACATTAATATGCTTAGCCATGATGCCAAGCCGCTTATGTACTCTCATCTCAAAGGTGAAAATACATACGATACGGAAGACCTTCTCGTGAGAATACCAATTCCTTCTGGCTTTCTATGAAAAGATTTTCAGATCATCTATGAGAAGACCTCTACGAAGAAGCCAGCCGATGACTTAAGCCAGTCAAAAATGCGTTTTATGTGTTTTATGACAAGGTGCTTATGCAACCTCACCTTAAAGGTAAGAATACATTCAACGCTTTTTTGACTGGCTTAAGTCTTCGGCTGGGTTCTTCGAAGAGGACTGAAATTCCATTAACAAAATGTTCGTGCACTAACTTTTCATTGTATTTTTTTTTTCGAACAGTTTAATGGATCTTACAGCACTGAAAATGTTAAAACCTTGGTATCAAATCGACTCGATATTTCGGCTTTTGGATAGGCAGAAGTACGACGTTACTATGAAAACTGGTAAATTAGTAGATGAATTTGCTACAAATGTAAGTCTTAATCAAATTTGTCTCTTAATATAAAATTGTGTAATTTTTATGTTTGAATATACACGTTTATGCAATTTATGATTTTTCTAGATTGTTCGCGAAAAGTATTCTGAATGGCAGAAGAAGCGGCAAGAGAATTCCGATTCTTACGAAAATATAGAACAAAATAATGAAAAACATATTTTCATTGAACAACTATTTCACTTGGCCGATCAAAACAAAATAAGCTCGCAAGAGATTATGGACGAAGCTCAATCAATGGTAGTTGTGGTAAGTTAAATATAAAACGAAAAACACTCAAGGCCATAGCAGAATGAACACGTTGAACCATTTTACGTGGAAAATAATATCGACAAGAACAACTACAACGAGGGTACGTGTTTATGATGGTTGTAATAATAGCTCTATATATGCATGGTACAATAAGGTGACAGAACAGCAATTAAGGGAATACAACTCCTGAGACTGTGCCTTCTTAAGATATGGCCGACGATATCGCAAAGTGATTCAAGCAAGAACCACTGGAGAGGCGCAGCGGAAATTGCGACAAACAATGATACGCACTAAGGCCTGGCTAGACTCTCACGCCCTAGAATTGGCTATGCAAAAACGCGAAGTTCTACTCCTTACAAGGCAGAACATTAACGTAGAAATAGACATCCCTATATCAAATCATACCAACGAAATCGTGCATTAAATACTTAAACAGATTGATTGCTCAAAAACGAAAGCGGCCAAAATAATAGCTCAGCTAAGCAGATTGATGGCGAACATAGGCGGTCCACTCCCTAGCAGAAGGAATATGCTGATGGAAGTTATAAAAGTATTTTTCTGTATGTTTCAGAGGTCTGGGCATCAACGCTGGAGACGCGAAATTGAGCAAAAAAATGCTTGCAGCACTTCGGGTGAAATCAACCGAACAGTATCCACCGATGTAGTTCTGGTTATAGCCGGAATAGATTTGCAGGCTTTTGAGTGAAAAGAGGCCTTCAACGCGAGGTATCAAAGTTCAATCCAACCGGAGGTGGAATCTGCAATAAAATTAGAGACAATTGAGTTTTGGCAACGCAGGTGGGCAAACAGCACAAGAGGCAGATTGAGGCACAAATTGATTCCCGACGCCTAGATATGGTACAAAAGGAAAGTAGGGGACACGGATACTTTCGTAAATACCTTAATTAAATGGGAAAATGCGACGCACCATATTGTATATACCTGGATACGGAAGTTATTGATGACGTAAAATACACCTTCTTTCAGTGTGGACGTCGGGCAAATGTGCGCGAGATGTTGGAATTATATATTGGCCCATTATCGTGCAAAAATGTCACTGAAAAAATGATGTATAGTGAGAAAATCTGGGAAATGGTAAGAGTATTTGTCGAAGGTGTGTTAAAAGCCAAGAAAAAAGACCTTGGCACAACCGTCTAAGACACAACAGCGGAGTCTGGATGCAGGCGTAAAATGATGAAAAGAGTGAGCTGCACTAAATAAGGGAACCACCTCGAAGTAATGCGAAAGCGGGGCCAAGATGGAGCACTTCCGGGCGGCAGGAGGTGGTTTTTAGCCGGTAGCATTGGAGTCCGGTATAGGACGTTTTGTGACATCATCGTCTAATGCGTAAAGCATTTTCCGTACTGTCTTTTTTCCTTATAATTTGACATTAATATGCCTAGCCGTAATGCCAAGCTGCTTGTGTAGCCTCACCTTTAAGGTGAGAAAATATAAAATGATTTTTTGAATGACTGAAGTTATCGGCTGGCTACTTCTAAAATGCTCTTCTTTGAGTTTTATATACTCTCACCTTTAGTTTTATTACATATTGTAAACCAAAACTATAACTTGTCATAACTTTTTGCTATTTTCCTTTTTATCATTTCAGTCATTTGAAACTGCATCAACATGTGTCATTAACGCATTACTACTCTTGGCCATGTATCCCAAATATCAGGATAAATTACGTCAGGAAATTAATGAAATATTGTCACTCGATAAATCTTCAACAAATTGCAGTGAAATAAATACTACGGCAAATAATGAACACAACACTATCACTACCGTCCATCTACAAACAATGCCTTACATGGATATGATTTTAAAAGAATCCCTACGCCTACTGACCACTGTTCCGATTATTTTGCGAAATGTTGATAAAAGTTTTCCACTGAAAATTAAAAATGGAAAATACAAAACGAAACTTGTAGAAGTGCCGAAGAACACAATAATAGCCGGTGATATATTTAACATGCATCGTAGTGCAGATGTTTGGGGGCCAAAGTCTCTTGATTTTTATCCCGAACATTTTGCAAAGGATTCAAATGTTGAAAGTATGCAAAGTGAATTGAAGCGACATCCATACTCGTATATACCGTTCTTGAAAGGTATACGTACGTGTATTGGTAAGTTGAAAGGTCAAATCTTGGATTTATTCATAAAAACATTCGATTTAATTGTAACTTTTCTTCTTTTTACAGGAAGCCGCTATAGCATGTACTTGGCTAAAGTTCTGTTGATCAAATTAATTGGATCGCTAAATTTCTGTACATCCACCCAACTACATGAGTTAGAATTTTGCGAAGGCGTCTCCTTAAAGTATCGGAATTCGAAAGATATATTCTTTCAAGTAACTTCAACGGCTAATGCTCAGAAATAGAATATTTTCTCGCATTTTTATTACTTCGACATTAATATCTAGTCTGTTCCAGACCTGTAAGAATTTAAACATTTTTACTACTATTTAAACATTTTTACTACCCTTTTGCAAAACTAGTAGATATTAGCTGGACCTGGAACAAAACAATCAATATAATACCCATTTTAACTGTAAAACTAGTAGAAAAAAAGTTTTTTTTTTCAACAATGTTTTTCAGAAAATAAAAACATTTCTTGAGGTGAGGGCACATAAACAACTTGCGAAATGGCTAGGAATATTAATGTCAAATTATAAAGGGAAACGACGGCAGAATTCGAATGCGGCTCTGGCATCTCTTTATGATATGTCACAAAATATGCGATGCGAAGACTTCAGGCTGTTTATGTACTTAAGGTGGGTATACATAAAGCGCTTATTTAGCTGCTTAAGGCTGGAAATACATAAAGCGCATATTTGGCTGGCTTAAGTCATTGGCTGTCTTCTTCGTAGATGAACAAAGGAGTATTAGGTGGGCCTAGTTCGATTTTGTCCCAAGGCTCCTTTGTTCATTTCCGAAGAAGCCTGCTGATGACTTAACCCAGCCAAATAAGCGCTTTATGTATTCCCAGCTTAAGTCATCGGCTGGCATCTTCGTAGAGGAATAAAGGAGTTTTAGGTTGGCTTTTCGATTTCGGACCTAGGCTCCTTTGTTCATTTCCGAAGAAGCCAGCCGATGACTTAAGCCAGCCAAATAAGCGTTTTATGTATTCTTCTGTTCAGTTCATTTAAATGATGCTTTGAATAAAAAAAAAATAAGTTAGAATAGTCGGTGATGGACATACCTAGAGGAGAAATTCCAAAATCCGGCCGAAGACTGGCTTCTAAAAAATATATCAAATTTACGAAACACTTGTTCCCCTTTTTTTGAAATTTTTACCCTGATTCCGGAAAACAATTTTATTTGGGGGACGGACCCGGGACCCGGGTTCAAACGGTCTGGACCCGGATACACTTACCCGATATAAACAAAAAATACTCCAGAAAGTCGGAAAAGGGCTAATTATGGGCGGTGATGCTACAATTTGTGCTAACACCTTTCAAAGACATTTGATAGGTCAATTGTGCCATACTGTTTGAGGACGTGCAGGGAATCACACTCCGGCCAAGTTTGAAAAGTTGGGTAATCAACTATATGTGTGGACGCCAGTTGTACGTAGGATTCCGGAACAAGAAGTCCAAAGCCCGTAGAGTAAGTAGAGAACAGGGAGTTCCCCAAGGTGGATTGATTCTCCGGAACTGTTTAACCTTTTCCTTTCCGGAATTCCTCGCCCTCCAGACCGCATAGAGATCGTAACGTATGCGGATGATTGTGAAATGAAAACTCTTTTGGGTTTGTTGGGGAATCCGCAAAATGCGACTTCCCCTTACTTTATTCAAATCAGAACCGAACTTATATTATCTTACAAAAATTAACTTAAGCTAATCGAAAAATAAAGTGAGCGTTGGAAACGCTTAGTAAGCATAATGCATGCTTAGGCTTAAATTTATAGAATTAATGTCTTATTATTTATTCATATAAATCTGCATTTGCTGCGTTCATTTAAAGATAGTTCGCTCTTGTTAGTTTTAAAATTTAGTTTAATGTTTACAATTTACACATATTGGTTTCTTTTGTATAGAAACTAATGCATACAACTATAACTAACGCAACTTTTTTAAATACGCTTACAATGTTTATTCTATAATATATTTTGAAGTAGAAAAAATTATCAACTAAAGAGAAAAAAATAGAATATGTTGTTTTTTTTTTCTTAAGTGATATTTTCAAAATATAATTTATGTTTTGTAAAAATTAAATAGTGTTCTATGAAATATATAACATTGTGTTGTGTGGCTTAAATTTTACTTTAAGTGATTTAATATGTTTTGTTTTTCATTTTTTTATGTGTTTCACAGGATCGCCATGAAATGAAACTCTTTTGGGTTTGTTAGGGAAGTCGCGTTTTGCGACTCAAATTAGAACTGAACTTATATTATCTTACCCAAATTAACTTAAGCTAAACGAAAAATAATGTAAGCGTGGGAAACGCTTAGTAAGCATAATGCATGCTTACTATCTCGGAGTAGTGCAGACAACACACCTCAATAAAATGAGGGTGTAAAGTTACATACTGAAGGTATTGTAACTTGAGTAAAATCATATCAACGGTTCAAATTGGTCATTCTCTAGGTGCGCTTTGCTACCCCTTTTGATTTTAAATGCATAAAATGTAACATACGAAAATTTTGTGAATTTTAAAATTTTATTAATTTTATGTTTGTATGTATTTATGCACCTTTATATGTATGTAATAAACTGTAGTAAAAAACGACATTTAAAATTAAAAAAAAAGACAAAAAATAAATATTTTTAAGAGGAGTTTTCTCTTATAATTTCACTCACATCTTAAATGATTTTTATTGTTTCCATTCTATTAATGGTCACATTGTAACGGAAAACATATCCGATTATAGTTTTATACAGATACAATGCCCCCGGGACGATCGTAGTGAACAAGTATTCAAAAGGCTAACAGAAAATTTTCCAGATTTTGCAAAAAAGCGTTTAACTGACTTATGTACTGAATTCTCAGACATTTTTGCTCTCAACTAATAATTTTTGTAAACAACAGTTCCGAGTAATGGATGGATGAAACTGTAGTAAAAAACAACAACAATTATGCGTTCACTAGGTGCGCTTTGCGACCCCTTTTGATTTTATATGCATAAAATGTTATATACGAAAATTTTGTGGATTTTTAAATTTTATTTACAAAGACAAAAAATAAATATTTTCAAGAGAAATTCTCTCTTATAATTTCACTCACATCTTAAATGATATTTATTGTTTCCATTCTATTAATGGTCACATTATAACGGAAAACTTATCCGATTATAGTTTTATACAGATACAATGTCCCCGAGACGATCGTAGTGAACAAGTATTCAAAATGCTAACAGAAAATGTTCCTGATTTTGCAAAAAAGCGTTTAACTGACTTATGTACTGAATTCTCAGACATTTTTGCTATGGAAACCGATAAAATCTCAACTAATAATTTTTGTAAACAACAGTTCCGAGTAATGGATGATACCCCTGTTTATATAAAAAATTATAGAATTTCACATAGTCAAAACAGGAAATAAAAACTCACGTTGACAAATTAATACAAGATGATATTATAGAGCCATCATTTTCATGTTACAACAGTCCGGTATTATTAGTCCCAAAGAAAGATGGCGACTAGTTGTAGACTACAGACAAATTAATAAAAGGTTAATAGCGGACAAATATCTATTACCAAGAATCGAAGATATTCTAAACCAAATATATTTTTCCTGTCTGGATTTCATCAAATAGAATTAAAAGAGGAGTTTAGGGATATAACTCCATTCTCCGAGAATGAAGGATCATTTTGCTTTAAACGTCTCCCTTACGGAATCAAGGTAACGCTGAACTCCTTCCAAAGAATGATGTCAATAGCATTTTCTGGTCTTAAGCCTGAACAGGCATTCCTGAATATGGATGATCTTATCGTAATTGGATTCTCAGAAAAACATATGATTCAAAATTTGCGGGATGTCTTCACGACGTGCAGAAAATATAATCTGAAGCTGAATCATGAAAAGTGTATTTTTTCAGACATGAAGTAAACTTTTTGGGAATTCTTCCCGTTAACTCAAAAAATGAAACCATCCAAACATATCCTACCCCAAAAAGGGCGGATGAAACTAAAAGGTTTGTTGCATTTTGTAATTACTACAGAAGATTTATACCGAATTTTGCAGAATACTCTGCCATTAACAAAACTAACTAGGAAAAATGCAGAGTTTATTTGGACTGGAAAGTGCCAAAAATGCTTTGAGTATTTAAAGAATTCACTTTTAACCCCAAGAAAACTCCAGTACCCCGATTTCAATAAAAAATTTTGCATTACTTCCGATGCAAGTAAATACGCATGCGGTGCCGTTCTAAGCCAAGTGCATAAGGGTGTACAGTTACCCGCATATGCATCAAGATCCTTTACCAAAGGTGAAAGCAACAAATCTGTAATTGAACAAGAACTCGCAGCAGTACATTGGGCAATAAAATACTTCAGACCATACATATATGGTACAAAATTTTTGGTGAGAAGTGATCACCGCCCATTGACCTACTAGTTCTCTTTGAAGAATCCATCTTCAAAATTAACCCGGATGAGATTAGACCTCGAAGAATATGACTTTGAAATACAGTACATAAAAAGAAAGGACAACTGTGGAGCCGATGCCCTCTCCAGAATTGATTTTGAACATATTAAGAATATAAAGAGACTCTATATGGTAACAACGCGGTCTAAATCAAAGAAAGACCAAACACAAAAATATAAAAAATTAACAAGCGTGTCAGACATTCCTAGGGTCTACGAACCACTAAATGCAACGGAGGTAAAGAAAAGTGTTCTCTCAAATATTCCTCTCTCTGGTACAAAGTGTACCCTTAAATATGGGAGAAAAACTTGAGAAAATGTAAAGATTGATGACCTTATTGCTAATGGAAGCTTTGATCTAAGTCAATTCATTCCTAGGTTGGAGAATATAACCGGTAATAAGGGAATATTCAAATTGCAACTCTCATTAAATGAGGATTTATTCAATATGATTCGAATCAATGATTTCAAAAACTGTACGAACCAGTTATTAAAGAATCTAACAATAGCTTTAACGCCAAAATTAGAGAAAATATCTGCTGAAGTGCAGAAAAGAAAACTCCAAGAAACGTATCATAATGACCCATTATACGGAGGTCACGCTGGCATCAAAAGAATGTCAGAAAAACTCCGCACTACATATCGTTGGAAAGAAATGTCTAAAGACATCACAACTATGTTAAAAACTGCAGTAAATGCCAAGAGAACAGGCCCCTTAAAAGGACGAAAGAACCTATGTGTATAACGGGAACCCCAGCAAGCGCTTTTGATATTCTCGTTATTGATACAATAGGTAATTTTTTTAAGTCAAACAGCGGTAACGAATACGCTGTGACAATAATATGTGATCTCACCAAGTACCTGGTAACTATACCATTACCCGATAAAACGGCAAAAACTATAGCTACGGCAATATTTGAAAACTTTGTACTTACATATGGGCCAATGAGAGCGAACTATCTTTAAATGAACGCAGCACTGACTGTTAAATG